CTTTCTTATATTAATGAAATATTTTAGTTATACATATTTATGTACACTTGAGCTGGTACTCCACGCTCCAAAATTTCACACCAAATTACAAGGACATTGAGCTTGGACAGATTTAATGTTCATCAGCTTCTGGTTCATCAGAATGGTCTTCCGACAGAAATAACGACGGCTGAGAGTCCGCGATCACGACAACTCGGTTACCGCGGTCACTTCGCTATTTCAATTAATACATTCAAAGCTTGGTCTATTATGTATTTCGCTATAAAACACACACACACACACACACACACACACACACAAACACGCACACACACACACACACACACACACACACACACACACACACACACACACACACACACACACACACACACCATTTGCATATTTTACGTTTAAGATGAATAAACTGGAGTTTAGAGTAACAGGAAATAGAATTAATGGAGGACTACTAAAATCCATTTTCACACACGAGCAAGTTGTTTCAAAGTCGTTCATCACTTTCCTTTCGTTATCCTTTCGTGCGTCAGAAGATACAATTCAAGTGTCAAACCTTTAGGCTTACGGGAAGACTAATTTAAGTCAGTGACGATGAAATGACAGCTCTCTTGATTTTATGATCAAGATAGTATGAATGGGGAAGCTTAATTGTTTGCACGAGATAGAGAATTTACGAAATTGAATTTCATTTACGACGTCTCACTTAATAAAGATTCACAATAAATATTATATATTTACTGTCAATTTTATGTATCACTCATGTTTTTTTTTTTTTTTTTTTTTTTTTTTTTTTTTTTTTATTTTTTTTAAATAATCCCTCATATATGATATCATAATGGAAAATTTTCAGTTTACTCTGTACTCAGGATTTTTATGAATTAAAAGAATAATTTCATTGTTTTTGTGCAAGGGAACCAAGTTAAAAAACTGAGCTATTTTCAAAGATATAATATTTAGCAACTAAGCTTTTAAGCAACAAATAAAAGATTTATTGTCCTAAAGGCCATGTAAAAATTTATACTTCACGCAAAAAAAGAGATCAACAAAGTGTTGATTTTCATATTGTAAATAATTTAAATTTTTAAACGTTTATATATATATGTGTGTGTGTGTGTGTGGGTGTATGTATATGTATAAAGTTGATAATCTGCTGTTCATAACTTTTTCCTGTATAAGCAAAATAAATATTAAATGATCAATGTTAATACGTACTCTAAAGGAAATAAAAACGTGGTTTTTATTTGTTTTGTTACAAACCAATAACTTTCTCAGGGAAGTCTTGTTAATATACATAGAAAACAAAATATTATTTTTAAAAATAGCATATTAAATATGATTTTCAGACAATTTTTTAAAGTTATTTCTTAAAAAGGAATCTATCATTGCTTGCTGACAATTTGCTTCAGGGGAAAAAGTCCATTAACCGTATCTGCGAGTTTTATTTTTATTTTTATTTTTATTTAATTGCATATTTGCCACTTCTTTATTATCATCTATACTTAACGAAGAAAAATTGTTATTTTTTGTGCCTCTTTTTTGCAATTACATTCTAATTTATGAACTTCTCGTTTGTGTTTTGTGTGTTTTTTTTATTAGGTTTCTCTCATGAAAGATGCTTTCCTATGCATCGGTAAAAATAATTCGAAATAAAAGAGAAGGTTGGCAATCAAAGTTATTTTTCTAGGTTTTGCTTGTAAGTGAAAGTTTCAGAGCTTTTATCGGGTTTTTGATTTTGTAAATTTAAGAGAGATGTGCTTATTAATCATTAATCATTAATCATTGAGACCTCTTCTACAAAATAACGATTAAAAAAATCATGATATCTTAGCATTTTTATTTTTATGCGGAAAGGAATTTCTGAAGTGAAATAATTTTTATCATGTTCTTTTATGAATATTTATGCTTTCATTAAATTAATTATAATTGATTTTTAGTCACAAGAAGTATTGGAATATATTAAGATAAGTGCATTTCAATTACTGAATTATTTGGTTATATATCCATTTTTGAAGTGCTACTTATTAGTGAATCAATTGGGGCTTTTGTTTTTGAAAACTTACAGAAGCTTATGTTTTAAAAAATACGAATAATAAATTATCCACTCGACAATACTGTATCGGAATAAAATTATTCACATGAATGATTTTTAAAAAATAGCGAATTTCACACAGAAATGGGCCCTCTGCATATCTAAGCAGGCCATTTAAAAAATAAATTGAGGTTACTGACCAGCACAATGTGAAAAATACTGCATTTGCTACATCCTCTATGAAATGGTAAATTAAGCAGTCCCCCCTCCCCCCTCCTCAAAAAAAAAGAAAACTTTAAGAAGACCCGGCTTCGCTTCTATCGAGGCTTTATTCCATCGCAACTCAACAAAAGTTCACGCAGGAAAGAGTCAGTGAAGAAACTGATTTTATGCAATTCTCTTAAAATCATTCAGAAACCAATTATAAAAATTTAGAGCAGAGCCCTTCACACGTCCTCAGCGAAAGATTACAAAAAATTTCCTATATGAATAGTTTTACATGTGGATCCGAATCAAGAACAAATCCAAATTCAGTTTCAGCAAATTGACTGTCTTTTTATCTTATGATCTCTTGACACTAAAAGTCGTGCAAAGTTGCTGCCACATCTTAGCATATGAACACGCCCAATCTCTGTATACAAACTTCCCGATATCTACCTCTCTGCTACTGGAGGCTGCGATTGCCTAGTGGTCATGGTAGCGGATTTGCAGCTGGTGTTGTTTTCGTTGACTCATGGGTTCGAGTCCTGATGCCCCTGAAGAGCCAAAATGTAGCGGGGCTGATGCCCATTAAATCTGGCGAGGTTTTAAGTTATCCCAGTGGTGAGGAAGTTTGGAGAGAGAGGTGCCAACTCAGATGTCATCTTCGACACTAAAACAAAATTCAAAATTTGCGAGGTCCCTCTTCGATAGCCTTCGTTTTGCATCTCACTGCGACGTTAATGAACAATTACAATCACACTTTCCTCTACTGATTCCACCAACATTTTCGTTGCTTATAAACACTTTCAATTTCTCTATTTGATCACTGTTCGCTAAAATTCAACATAATGTAATGCTAATACTTAAGTCATGCATCATTTACAAGGAGAGATTCTCAAATCAAACAATGTCATGAAGAGTCTACAAAGTTTAGTTGAAGGGAAATACGCGTGAGTACCCAGTTACATGTATTTAAACCAAGGTCATTAAAGAAGTTAGTATATATATTTTAAGAGTGAAATATTTTTGGCAGTGAAAATTATGATGGAGAAATATTATCCTCATATTATGAACAGTACTTTTACAATTCAAAAATAGTAGCAAAATAAATAATTTTTCCCAACTGCTACATTAGAGCTACTATCAAGTAACATAATAAGAAATAAATTAATATTTGTAACAAGTATATAAATTCCATACCGTATAATCTATGTGTCTTTCTATTTTTAATGAATACATTTGAAAAAAAACCATGTTTAATGACAAAGAAAAAATTATTGGTTTTTGCATCTCTTTATAACTATCTCTTTTTAAATAAAATTTTTTACATTAAATTGAAAAGCATCGTTGATTTCTTATCAATTTTTAGATATCTCATAAGAATTTTAATTTTTATGCGTTTAGTCAGTGTCAATTGATGATTTGTTTTTCGTTATGCATTAATTCTTCCAATTCTTTTAACAGTGTTTAAGACAATTTAAAACTAGAAGCATGGTTGGAATTTTACACATACACAAGAAAAAACATGCAAACAACATTTCATATAACAAGAGAATATATATATATTTTCCCAGCCTTCATTCGTTGAGTTGTCTGTCGTTGGTTTTCAGTAATTGGTGTCCCGGTTGCACAACGGATTGTGGATAAGAACGCATCAGAGGCTGTGAATGTTAATCGGATGATCTTTCTATCGTCATTCTCGGTCTACCACTATTTTTTGATGCTTTATACACCCATAGCCTACCCATTCCCTCTAACATCGTTGAATGGAAGCATCACTCCAACCCAAATTTCGAGCGATTCGGCGATTTGACCACTCTGCTTCCTTTAGTCTAATTGCAAGTCCTCTCTCAAATGGTGACATCTACTTATACCTTTCGCAAATCCTTATGTGAGGCGCTGGTACAGTCAATGAGGATCGATGGAGCCACATTCACAGGAAATTGTGTCTTAGCATTGGAATTGTGCCTTAGCACTGATTTATACACTATCCATATGATCCATTGCTATGCCCTGGAGCTCTAACTAGTCAGTCATTTTCTGTCAAAAGTTGATCATCTGTGTATTCTATCCTAGGGTATATACATGCGCATTTCTTTCCGGCTTATTCGGATAACTCCTTCTTGGTGCGTCGCTTTTTATGATATGTAATACTAGTACAAGAGTTGTTTCCCGTTATGAGCAACAGATATATTCAAATTGGACAATTTTTTATTCAACTTGTATTTTTTTGAGTTAAGGAACTTATCAATTTTCAGTTGCTTTGTTTGACTACATTTATTTCTCAGAAAATGAAATGTTTTGAAGTATTATTCAAAATGATCAGCCACAGAATTTTAACATTTTATTTGTTATTGTATTAATAAAAAGCAGCGTATAATTTTTGATTATTTTAATAATTTATTTAAAATAGCCAAAATTAAAAAAAAAAAATGTTTTGAGTGTTTTTGCAGAAATAATTTTTCACCACAAATTTTAGAATCGTTTTCTTCCAATGAAAGATTCATTTCAAAAGCCTACGAGTCAAATTCTTCATTTTATTTAATATGAATAGAAATTTAATTAAAAGTTTGCTTCAAAATTAAAGTCACAAGGCTTGGTTTGGTTTTATTAACGTCGTAGTAGAAGCAACACGAGAGTTATTAGCAACGGACCTCGTAATATTGAACCTCGGTCAAGTGACATGAGTTAGCACCCCTTCTCCTAACTTCCACACCACGCCAAGAGTGGACTTTGGGACCCGAGAGATTTAGGTGCATCAGCCCCGGGTTTTTGCGGACATCAAGGCTCGAACTCGAGACTCAACGAAAACCGCCGTCCCCGAGTCCGTTACCATGACCACTAGGCTACCGCTGTCCCTAAGTCCCATAGAGTAATTTAACTACACTTTAAAGGGGCAAACATTTTTAATACCTAAAAAAATATGAGCATTTTTTTCAAAAAATTCTGAATTACACTCAGTAAATGATCATTTATACTGAATTTCATGAAGATGTGAGAAAAAAGGCTTTAACCTTCCACTTTTTGTAATAAGAATAAAAAAAAAAAAAAAAATGAACGATATTGATTAATTTTTTGCTTTCTTAAAAATAATAACAAAGCCATGAGAAAATTGTATACAGTCCTAGAAAAGAAGTTGGATGTCGTACGAAAAATCGCTAAATGTAGAATGCTACTGCGAGTTGAACTAGTGGCCGCAGTAGCTTAGTGGTCTTGTTTGAGGCAGGCGTTGATTCATCGAGTAGTAGGTACGAGTCTTGATGCTACTAAAGCCCCGCCGTGTAAAGGAGCTGATGCACACTAAATATGTTCGTGCTCCTAAGTCCTCCCATTAACTTGGTGTGGAAGTTTGGAGAAAAATTGCCAACTCAGGTTTCCTCCTTATCACTTGACCGAGTTCAAAATTACGAGGCCAATAGCCTCGTGTTGTTCCTCAGTTCGACGTTAATAAATAATCAAGTTGAAGCTTAGTAAATGTTTTACGACTTAATGCTATATAATAAGAAATTAAAATAAAAAAAAAAACCCTAATATTTTATGGATTATGTAAAATTATCAAAATTGGTAAATGGAAGCTTAATCGTCTGCATATTATGTTATCTGAAAGAATAAATAAACTGAGAAAGCATTACTCTCCGATTCTAGAGACAAATATAAGTTTAGTGGATATATAATTGTTTTATTCTTGTGTGTTTTAAATATATGCTGAGAGAATTATATTTAACGGATACTGTACAAGACCAGGATAATAGATTTTAAAGATGCTGTTTATAGTGTTGTTGAAATTGTAAGAAAAATTAGAAGATCGAAGGCTGTAGTTAACCGCTCTCCCATTAATCCTGGAACTATGACATAAGAAATCGACCTAGAAGACTAAAGATAGTTTCTTCGTTGAAAGAGAGGCACATCTAGAGTCCCACTTGTAAGTAAAAAAAAAAAAAAAACTTTTTTTTTTTGAAAATTAGAGATAAGATGCATTTGCTCCTCTGCCCCAGCCGTGAAATAAGGAATGCATCACATGAAAACCCTTGAGTTGCGAAAGAGAATTTGAAAGGAAAAAAATCCCACTTTCTAAGTGGCATATTGATTTACATTAAAATTTTGTCCGGAAACTATTTAACGGCTGTCAACAACTGGAATGATGTGGTGTTTTCGGACAAAAAAAGTTTTAATTTAGATGGGCCAGGCAAGTTAAGTTTTATAGGTATGATCTGGGTAAAGATAACAACATTTTTTTCAAAATGCCAATTCTGAAGAAGATCTCACATCGTTTGAGCTTAATTTGCTTCGAGAGAGGGACAACTGAAATTTTTTTGTCGACAAGAAAATCAATTCAGTATTATATTATGAAATGCTGGCAAATAGTTTGATACCGGTTGTTCCAATGATTATATCCGTCGTTTGAACATTTTATCAAGCATCTGTGTATGTTTCGTACTCCATAAATTCCTGTATGAAAGCGAATGAGATGAAAACACTTCAATGGCCATCACGGAGTCCCGATAGGTACTTAATAGAAAAAGGTTTAGGCATTCTAGCTAAAAATATTTACAAGAGTGGGGGACAGTACAGCAGGAAGTTTGATCTAAAAAAGTCGCACTTAAAAAATTGCTTTTACAACTTTGACTTTGACAGCATCTAAAAGATCTTTGGCTGGTTATGTGAAACGATGCTTAATACAAGTAACAGAAAAAAGTGGTTTCCACTTCACTTATTAAAAATAAATCATGTCGCTTCTATACTTTTTTCCAATTTTACTGTAGAGTAATTTCTTATAAAATTTTACATAATGTAACAATATTTAAATGTATTTTTGCTATGTTTGTGTGTGATTTCATTATATTACAAAATATCCTCACAAATCATAAAAATCTGAAATGCATTTTTTTCTTATGACATCTATTTCTGCAACGTTATACATTTTTCTGGCTGTTGAAGTATATATATATATATATATATACATAATTAAGTATTTACAAGAATCTCATAAGTAAGTTTAATTTCATGCTTCAAACATCTATTCATGTTAACTGATTGATTGACTTCTTATTCACGTCGTACTTAGAAACAATCCTAGAATTAATGGTGACGGATCCCATTACTTTCAACCAGGATCAAGTCACGAGGACACTATACCAAATCTGAGAGCCCCACTTTTCTAACTTCCACACCATGCCAATGTAAACTTTGTACTTCGATAGAATTTATGAGTATCAACCGGTTACTCTGCAGCGAGCCTTTAAGCGGAAGCAGGACTAGAATCCACAACTCGACAGAAACAACACAGGCCGTGAACTTCGCTACATTGACCACTCGGATATCTCAACCCCTACTTGTTAAGTGGATCTAAGAGGTTAAGACGTTCCTGTTCTTAGGTGATCAATTTAAAAGGCTTTGCTGGATATGAATTCCAGAACCTACAGAAGCAAAGAATCTTTTCCTCCCACAGGCATTACGTGCAGATAACTTATAGAAGCATAAATACTGATACTATAGTGTATATCATTGCATGCTTTTTAAAATGAAATATTTTCCTGAAAGGATCACAGAGCTGTCTTAATTTGTATTGTGACAATTTTATTTACTGTTAGAGCAATACACTACTTGAAAGAAGTCAGAGAAATCTGATAATTAGAAATTATTCATATTAGTTTAAAAATTTACAATCTTATATTGTACTGAGAACGGGTTATAACTTTGTTGTGTGCATGCATATTCTTCTTGCATACGCAATGAGACTGTTATCACTAGTAATTTTGATGATGAATTGTTCATTTTGCTGATTTCCATTCATTCGGGACGATTTTTTTTTTTGACATTTCAATTCCAACGAAATTTCAAAACTCTACAAATATCTGTGTGTACTCTGTTATTGTTTCAAATGTAGCTCTTAAATTAAATCAATAGTACAATGAATCTTCAAAATGGGATGATAAAAGATAATCAGATTTCAGGTATACATTATTAAGTTAAATGATCCAGGTACACATTAATGAATAACCCTAATGAATTTACATGATCTCTGTCACGGGCTTCTGTTTATAATGAAAAAGAATTTTTGAAGCGAGTATATTGTCTCTGAAATAAAAATAACGCGATAATATTTATAACAAATAGTATAATCATTTTTTCTATTTCGTAATCCTATTTTTTAAAAACAAGGCAATTAACTAACAAAGTAAAAAGTTTTAAAAAAGCCACTTCTCTGGCAGAAGTTATTAAATACCTCTATTAACATCAATTATATGATATTCAATACATCTAATTTCTATAATTTTATTTTACTTATTTTAATTTAAGCATTTCCTTTATCAAAATCAACAGTTAAAGCTATAAATAATTATAAAAACAACATATTTAGTTGACATGTTTCAGTATACGAACATCTAACACATGACACCAAAACAATCTCAAAAATTTATCATTCAGACTTTATATAGAGCAACTAGAGTTTGATTTAAAATATTACCCTAGCTTTATTATTGTTGTTGTTTTTCATTTTCTTCCCTCAATTACAAATCGAGTGTACCAGACAGACTGCCAGTCTATATGTCGCTATCCAGACAAGCCAACATTGTGGTAAATCTTTAGTGAAGACAGATTACTAAATGTTATTGGTACACAATCTATTAAGTTGCTTATATGTTCTTCAGTATAATGGTTTTGTTCCTGTTACGGTCAGAAAGACTTCAACAAGGTTAGGTATGATGTTAGTCGTTTATCATCAAACAAGCTACGAATAAAAGAAAAATATTTTAAAAAAATTATTATAAATCGTCCTTTAAGAAAAACGTGTATGTAACTAACAAAGAATGGAAGGATAACAAAACTATTCTTATATTGTAATTATCTAAAATATTGTTTAATTAAAGCATTAGACAAATTGTAAAATGTTTCAACATATAATATTAAAATGCAACGACTCAATTATGAAGGATAATATGATGCAGGATTATTAAAGTAATACCAGAGCCCCCTCTCACACATAACATTGTACTGGTGACGGGCATTATTATATCAGACTTAAGATTACCTTGCTTTTGGAAATGCTGTGGGGAAAGTCTAGGAAATAAAAGAGGAAAAAGTTGAAACACCTAACAAAAGAGAATGAAAGATTGAATATTTTCAATAACATTTGCTGTATCAACTTTAAACATAAAATTATTTAATTCAAAAAATTTGGTGTCAAAAATGCAGAATTTAAATGTTTTTATTTTTCTGAGAATTTCTTGTAATCTTAATTTCAATAATATTAGGATTTCAAATTAATTTGTTCTACCAAGAATAGTTTCTTATTTTTGTAGACTAAGTTAATTTTGAAATATTTTAAGTAAAGAAAAAATAGACAAAAACTAACTTAATAAAATCATATATTTTTATTGCATGATTTTCATAATGTCAATATTATTTTCGGATATGTATTCTTCCTTTCTTTATGTACTATAGTTTTATTTTAAAGTAATTAAACGTATGAGCCTAAGCAAATAATGGTATGAATAAGTTTACCGAACCAGAGGGGAAAAAAAGGAAGAAAAATAGTTACAGAAATATTAAGGTGGTAATCTCAAAATCAAACCCATTTGAAATTGAACTGAAACTTTTAGAATGATAAATATATGTGTTTGTAGTATAATTTTAACTTGTTTGCTCAAAAGTAATCAAACGATACCTCATTGTATATCATTCAAAAATAACTTGATTGTAACTATAAAAACGCATGAACATAATCAAGAATTACTACTACAGATACATTTAAAAAATTATGAAAAAAATTGATACTCGATTTCAATTTACTAATAATATTTTGCCTTACATTGAAAATACCAGATAATGGGAAAAGCTTTTTATAACAG